ATTGAATCGCTACAATCCTTTTAGACAGGGACTTTCAATCTGATCAGGTCCCCACAGGTAGCCTTCTCCTCAGCCAGTTGTAATCTGGAAAGCCCACCTTATATTTGCTCTCCCGAGAGTTTGTCAGCGCTGTTATTCACAGTTCCAGGCCTGCTTAGAACGAAGATGAGAAAAAAGAGAGCTGATTATTAGCTCATCAAAGCACAAAACAAAATCACCTGACAGGTTTTGTCTAAGTGCACTGTTACAAAAATAATGGGCCCAATTCTAGACATGTCCATGTTTAATAAAACTCCCTCTATTAAAAACAAAAAACAAAAACAACCCGAACCTAACCGACAGAATCAACCCATCACTACAACAACCTCAAAAATCTTAAACACACAAAAGTTTTGCCACCAGAGTCCTGACACTCCCAGGTCAACTGACATAATTTCACCTCCTCAATACACCAGAAATCTTGTTAAAACCACACAATCTGCACACAATAATGGTCCCCTTTAAGGACTTTACCATACTTAGATTCAGCATAAGACATAAACCCATTACAACAACGTATCATCACTAAACTATAAATTTCCTATCCAAATCTGCACTTCTGAACAGACCTGACCACTAAATTTATCTAGCCTGTTACTTTACCATTATATATTTCACCAAGTAATCCTCCTCAGTCACTGCTCTGTTTCCTCAATTGAAAGCCTCAGTCACACAGACACACAGGAAGCTTCTTCGTCACCACTCACTTCAGCTAATTTGCATACTGAGTCATATCTCAACAAGTTACCGTGACAAGAGAAATACATGTTTAAACATTACCACATTATTGAATTATTTTCATTTTCTTTCTATACTAATCACTTGCTTTGATCAATCAGTACAAGAGCACTCCTAAATCACTCTTATAAAAACTACTTCACTTTCCTTTTTCCATAACTCACTCTCTTTGTCATATAGCTTCTCTGAGTTATTCCTCAACTTCAAACTTTAAGTGTATTTTATTAAACATTCACACCATTTTGACACTCATACAAGTAGCAAGCTGATTTTCATTGCATATGTTTGTGTTCTTAGCCAGGTTTAATCAATGTCTATGCATTAATCTTCATGAGCTTGTCCTTGTAAGGTTAATGCATTTTCTGCTTGTGTATGTGATTTTGCATATGTTTCTTTTTGCAGTGTTTCAGACTCCTTCACAATTTTTCACTTAAGCAGTCAGTTTTCTCTTTCCCAAATTTGCTAACCCAAATTTTGATTTCCCACCTGAAATAACAGCATTCCTGGTCCTCAGCCATAGGTCAGAGCTTGCTTGTGAGGTTCAGGGACACATGGCGCTGTGAACAATTCAACCAGAAACTTGCCTTAACATGTCCAGTGATGTTAACCTATAACTTTCTTCCGACCGCTGCATGTGGAAAATTGATCCAGGTCTGTTTCGCCCCTGAAGAAACACAACTGAGACATTTTCATTATTATCATGAGTACTTAAACTACCCGTTTCCCTCTCTCTGATCAGAAATACCAACTTATGTCATGTATGTGAATGTAAGCATGTTCTTCCTTGCGTTTATGTTAATTGAGTGTAAGCTGCTTTCTTTGTTGCATGTTATGTGAACATGTTAATCAAGTGTAAGCTGCTTCTTCATTGCATCTGTATGTTGTAATCAGGTTTAATTCATGCATCTTTTCACTGAGTTCTGAATTCAAACTATCTCACTTCTGGTTCCTTCCAAAAATAATTTCACATGTAACAATTTGTGTATGTGTGTTTTCTATTCATTAATGTAATTGTCAGTTAGTTTCTCTCTTTATTTTTATTTTTTTGTTTACCTCTTTGTTGTGATCTGGTGGACATCTCTAAACCCTCATGAGTTCAGGCTTCAATTTCAATCCAATTATATCCTGTATTCTCGCAGTCAAACTCGTCTGGGCTTCACCTCTCACTGGTCCCTGTCCCTCGTCTCACAGTGTCCTTTGTGGCCTTAAATCTCCAGCCACTATAGTCCCAAGTCAGCGGTTTCTTCTTCTCTGTTGGTCCTTTCAGTCGTCTCTTTCAAGATTACTCCAAGCATGGCAAATATGAAACTCAATGTCCAGTGATTTCCCACAGTTCTTTATCCCACTGTTCAACTGCCCAGCCTGTAATTCACAGTACATGTTGCATCACGTGCTTTTCTTACATGCTGCTGCTGGTGTTGTCAGTAGTCGTCAGTGTTAATGGTTCAGTTGCACTGTCTTTTGCCTGCTGTTAATTCTTCATGTCCACGATGTTCTGTCGGTCTTTATCAAGGCAAGGCAAGGCAAGGCAAGG